GGGCTGCGCTCCTCCAACCCGCGCCATCTCGCCCCTGCCGCCCCTGGTGACGCTGCGCTGCCCGCTGCGTTTTACAGGGACCCTGGTCGGGTCCCGCGAGACCACCGCCCTGTCGAGTACCGCCCGCCTGTACAGCAGACGTCCGTCGTCAAGAATGTCGTCAACCTGGTCAAGCAGTCCCTTACCCTCGTGCAAGTCGACGGAAACCCCAGTGTTTATCTGGTCGAGTTTGGGTTTGACGCAGATGTCGACGGCTTTATTACCATTTACTACTGCGCGGAAGAGATTATCCACCGCGTCAGGGGTCGGAGAGGGCCCACAGCTCCCGTCCAAAAGGTCAGTTATAAGGGGAAGGGTGACACGTTGCCGGGGAGGACGAGGTTTGGCGTAGGGAGAGGGCAGAGGTACAGGCAGAAGCTAGAGAAGGGCTTGGATGTCCGCAAATACCGCCCACAGGATTTGAGATATAGGCCAGAGGTGGATAGGTATCCTGTCATTATTCGCTTGGAGGCTGTCTATCCTCCAGATTCCGACGTAGAGCAGGACCTGCGCGTCCACTGCCAGACTACGTTTGCCACTATTGACCGCGTTGATGGGCGCCACACTATCCAAGTCGTTGCTCAGCAGGTCCTGGTTGGCGGAACCATTTATCGCGTTCAAGACTTGTACGGCATTGGCGCCGCTGATGTTACAGCGTCGAAAGAGCCTGAAGCACCGGACCACGATGACAGCTATTCTATGGACATGGCCCACGAGTGCGTTATATGTCTCACTGAGCCGTGTAACAGTGCCGTTTTGCCGTGCAACCATTTATGTTTGTGCGACGACTGCGCCCGGATTCTGTGCACCGAGACCGACTACGAGCGACGAAAGTGTCCCGTGTGCCGCACGCAGGTTGTCAGTTTGCTCCGCATCATTTCCCCACCGACTAATGAGCCGAGCGAAGAGTCAAATGGAGGCGAGGCCGGAAGCACTATGCCGGATAATTTCACTGTGGCAGCGACTATCTCGCGCACAGACTCAGATTTACCGACTACGGAAAACCAGCCTGTGACCACAATTGAAATATTGGAACAAGAGGAAGAATGCGAGACCCATCTCGCTATGACTGTGCGGCCGGCCTCGGAAAATGCGACCGAAGGAAACACAGTCGCCACGCCCTCCACCCTAGTATGAGGAGCATATTCGATTACGCACTGTTCGACTTCCCTCTTATTTTCGGAGCTCCTACGAGTATTCTAGAGTTAGTATTCTTCCTACCCACCCATGAGTATCACATGTTCATAAAATACCCTTCATATGCTCAAATTTGATCACTAATCGTGGTCATATCTTAAATAAACCCCTCAAAACCCGGCAGCGAGCTTCGGTGGTGTTACAACTGCAGGTAGTACTGGATAGTTGCCGGAGAAGCACGCGTCACAGAATGTGGGCGCTTCATCCGCAAGAAACTCGTGCATCGCGTCTAGAGGCAAGAAGGCCAACGAGTCTGCCCCAATATATTCACAAGCCTCGGCATCCGTCATACGATTAGAAAGAAGCTTCTCCTTATCCGGTGTATCGACCCCGTAAAAACAACCACCTGTAATCGGGGGGCACGCGATGCGGAAGTGCACTTCCCTAGCACCGGCATCACGTAGCATACGCACAATCTTCTTTGACGTCGTCCCGCGCACGATAGAGTCATCCACAACGACCACCGATCGACCTCGTATTAAGGCTTCAACAGGTGCTAGTTTGAGACGTACGCCGATATCTCTCGCAACCTGTGTGGGCTGAATAAACGTTCTCCCAACGTAATGACTACGAATAATCGCCTGTTGGAATTGAATCCCAGAGGCGGATGCATAACCAAGTGCGGCAGGTACGCCGCTCTCTGGGACAGGGACAATGGCATCGGCATCGGGAACCATAGCAGATGTGGCAAGCAATTCGCCGAAACGGAAACGGCTCATATACACACTTCTGCCAAAAACAACGGAGCTTGGCTTTGAAAAGTAAATGTGCTCAAAAACGCATGCATGTCGTCTCAGGGGTGGAAACGGAAAGGAATTGGTAATGTTCCCCTCGCGATCGATAGAGACCATCTCACCAGGCTCTACCTCCCTCATAAACTTCGCTTCAACAATATCCAAGGCACAGGTCTCGCTTGCAAATACGATGGCCGGAGCAGCCCTTCCTTCAACTTTGAGCTCGCCCATGACCAGCGGTCTGAATCCATAAGGATCACGCACAGCTATAAGGGTTTCCTTGGTGAGGATGAGGATGGAATAGGCACCCTCGACCCTATTCAAAGCATCTGCGGCTTTTCTTGCGACACCACCAGATGAACCAACACTAGTAGCCATAAGATGCAGAACGACTTCGGTGTCGCTGCTGGTGGCGAAAATACTTCCGCGAAGTTCAAGCTCAACGCGCAGGACGTCGGCATTTGTCAAATTTCCGTTATGAGCGACTGCTACTTGCCCCTCGCGAAAGCTAGCTCTAAAAGGTTGGACGTTCCTGACGCTTTTCTCGCCCGAGGTGGAATATCGATTGTGGGCAATGGCAGACTCACCCGCAAGACTGTCACCATCGAGGGCGTTTGCAAAGACCTCTGATACAAGACCCAGGCCCTTATATTCGCGGAGATCCGGGGAGAAGGATTCACCAGACGTGACAATACCGGCGCCCTCCTGGCCGCGGTGCTGAAGCGCGTGCAAGGCGTAGTAGGCGACGGCAGCGGATGACGGGTGGCCCCAGACACCGACGACGCCACACTCTTCGTGGAGGGAGTCGGAGTCGTCGGAGTCGTCGGAAGCGAAGGGTTGGGAGGCGGTCGGCGGAGCTGGGGCGGGTGGCGAGATGGAGGCTTGAAGGCCGAAACGTCGGTAGTAGGTACGCTTTCGGAGGCGGCAGGTGAGGCTGGGACGCGGTTTGGTCACAGAGGATGGAAGCGTAGAGGGCGGGGATGCAAAAGAGGGAGGTGGAGAAAACATGTTGGAGAAGTGTTTTGTGGTTGAGGTAGCGGGAACGGCAGCAGGTGGGGGTTGGCGGGGGGTGACATGGGGGTCCGCCGTTGTTTTCTGGTCAAGAATTTTGTGTAGGGAGAGAGACTTGGTGAAAATATAAGGTGCGGGCATTACCGACTTGATCTCGCGCCCTTTCACGACAAACGGCCTTGTTTTCAGAGTACAGTGTTTATTGTATTTTTTTCTAATACAGGCCGTCCGGGCACAGTACAGTGCGCGAAATTGGCATAAATACACCCCACCTCATTTCGATAAAAAAGCACTTTTGACACTGCCTCGAGAAGCCGATTTGGCAACACCCATGGTACGCGTGTGCGTGAGCGCGAATCTGAAGCCCATTTCCATCAAACAAAAAAGCACTCCCAAGTTATCCCCCAAAATGTGGGCAAAATTAGCATATGAACACGAGAAACCATATGGTACAGTCACTTGCAATGTATACTTCGTAGGGCCACCTTTCTTCTCTAGTAACTCCACCAGGCGCCAAGGAATAGATTTGTAGAGCTTATTCAGGTACTATTCGGAAATAGAACTCCAACAGTGTCTGATTCTGTCAGCGAGGTCTTCCAGGTTGCTAAACTGACGTCCATGACCGTAAACACGGCGAGCAAGCAAGCCCCATACATTTTCGATTCTGTTCATGTCTGGTGACTTCGCTGGATATCCCAATAACTTGACATGTTTCGACGAAAGCCAATTCTTGGTGTAGTTTGATCGATGAGAGGATGCCCCGTCTTGCTGAAATGTCTATTCTTCACCAAGCGTTTCAGCGGCAATAGTAGCGGGTCCTCCTCTAGTACCTCACAATAAAGCGTAGAGTCCATGTTACCTTCAACAAGGATCAGATGAATCGTACCGTAGCAAGAGATAGCACCCTAAAGCATCAAAGATGCTTCTCCCTGGTTTCTTGTCTAAAAGACTTGTTCTTCTAGCCTCAACTCGTGCCAATAGTATGCCAACCCATCTGGCCCATCCAGGTTGAACTTTTCTGGTCCGAAAAAATTACCTGGCGCCAAAAGGCGCTTCCCTTCTCCAGCATCTTCTTGCTTCATTCCAGTCTGGCAATCATGTGCCTCTGGAGCATCTGCGGACGCGTCAGCATTTTTTTGTACTTCAAATGCGGTGCGTCACGTAGTATTTGGTGAACGCGACCGGACGGCCACACCAATGTTGAGGCTTAGCTTTAGCTCCCGTCATGATTTTATCCATTACTAGTGTATTATATCGACGGACGCGCGCGTGCGGAGATTATTAACCGTGCCGCCGTGCACGGTGGACACATGGGCGGGTGTGTCCACGTGTAGGGAGCGCGCGCGTGTACCGACCGGTCGTGGCGTGGCGCACGTGTACAGTAGCCCACGTGTCGTCCGTGCGGTAGTCTACACGTGCTACGCGTGCGCGTTAGCACACGTATCGTCCGCGTGGTAGTCTGTAAGCAACACCCGTGTACAGTAGTGCACACGTGCAGTAGCAGCGTCCGTGCGGTAGTAGTAATTATGGCGCTAGCTTTTCAATTGTGTACAGTACCCAGCACGCACTAGGCGGCAGGTACTGTACTACTGTACTGGGAGAGGTGTCCGAGGCGTCCCTCTGAGGGGTTAAGACCTGGCACCCGTCCCCATCAGTAACCTGGGGCGAGCTCGCCCCCGCCCTCTTCGCGCCTACGTACGTCCGTTTCGGTTGTCTATCGCGCGCGCTGGCTTCTAACCCGTTACCGGTCGCTCCCGTTCACGCACCACGGGGCGACTGCGCGTAACCGGCCAGTGAGCCACTCCCTTTTCGCGAGCTCGTCCGATCGGTTCAATTAGCGCGTCGCGTCCGCGCCGCGTGCTCCATCGCTATAGCCTCCGCCTCTCACCCAACCCAGGGCGGAGAGGAGTTATCCCACAACTAGCGTCCCGCAGCAAAAGCCGCGTTTGCTTCTTAGAAGTTTTTGTTGCGTTGCGAATGCTTTTGCGTTTATCAACCCGCTTTGGGCGCTTCAAAAAGTTTTATACGGCTCCTGGGGACCTGTTAGGCGTTCAAGCGATCTCGCGGACGCTCAAACATTCCCGTTTCATGGCTACAATCTGCCCCTTCTCGAAGTTTGACAGTATCTTTCCACGAGGCATTTTCCTTGCGATGCGAAGTTTTTTTACGGACACACAATGTGCATTGATTATGTATCTAACAATCCCAGGCACCGAAGTCGTTACTCTTTCGGTTTGCCGCCAAGTTTGCATGGTAGTAAATGCTGTACCATATGGTTTCTCGTGTTCATATGCTAATTTCGCCCACATTTTGGGGGATAACTTGGGAGTGCTTTTTTGTTTGATAGAAATGGGCTTCAGATTCGCGCTCACGCACGCGCGTACCATGGGTGTCGCCCTATCAGCTTCTCGAGGCAGTGTCAAAAGTGCTTTTTATCGCAATGAGGTGGGTGTATTTATGCAAATTTGACGCACTGTAGAGCCGCTTCCGTTCCAATCTAGTTCTATTGGAATCTCACAATCAATTACTGCCATTTGTTAAATATTTATCAGTTGATCTTTTGATAAACCAATACTGTACACCAGCCTTGTCAAGTAGAGAGCTAAAACAAACCCCACCGCTAAACTCTGTTCACATCACATGTCTTCAAGAAATAGCAGTACGAATATTTTCAAGGACGGTGATACAAATGGCGAAAGTGATGATGACATCGCTGTCGCTGCACTCATCTGTGGGGGTCCGCTACCGCACGAAAAGCAAAAGAAAAATGCCAGTCTTCGGCGGTTCTCGGCCAGGTTTATCTGCCAAGGCCAATCGGGACTTCAGGACACCTTATTGCAATCTCCAGCAAGACTGTTTCTCGGCCTTTCCGCGATACGACGAGGCTTCAATCTGTAGCATAAACACCCCCAGACGACTGAGGGTGTATGCGCAGTCCGAGGTAGACCCCATTCGAACGGCAAGACGGGTGAAGCACCAGCAAACGAGGCAGGGAAGCGGGCCCTGGTAGCGGTGTGGTAGAGCGGGACGGTCGGGGACGAGCGTCCGCGCGGGCCGATCTACGCCTCGACGCCCCGGAGCAGCGCTGGGTAACGTACCAGCGCTGACGGGCGGCGGCGGACCTAGGCTCGCTCGCGCACGCGTGTGTCCCCTACCCGCTCCCCTCCTCCTAACGCGCGCGAAGGCGAAGGCGCGTGGTTAGAATAAGCTGGGTGGACTGACCTTGGCGGTCGGTTGAGGACGAGTCCGTGCTTGTCCCCCTCCGCCGCCGTCGGTCCGCTCCATATTTAATATACAAAACAATCTATCATAACACTACTGTACCGAGGTACTGTAGTGGGCTACTGTAGTGCAGGTCGGCCTGCATTGTAATACTGACAGCTATGTCGAGGCTGACAGTACACGTATTACCCGTGGTGCGTGCGCACTTCGTTCGCGCGCTGTACACGTGTGCACGTGTGTGCACGTGTCCCTTGTCCCCGTGGTGTACACGTGGACACGCGCGGTTGTACTGTAGAGCGCCGGGCTCTACAGTATGGGATCCCGTTGTTGATCTAATCTAACTAAAAAGAGCCCCCAGGGGGGGTTATACTACACGGCCCCCCCTCAAGCGTGAACGTCCGCGTTCACGGGTGCTTGTAGGAAGAGCCATTTCGGACGCGTCTCACGTTGATCTTGACTTGACCGAGGTTCCATTCGTCCCACCCCGTTTGTCACGTGTCTTCCCGTTCCCCGGTGTTTGCGTGGTCGCGCTTCCCTCTCACGTCCCGCTCCCTTGCCCACCCCTCGTCTTCCCGCCGGTTGGGGGTTCCCGATCCTCGCCGCCGAGTTCTTGCTTCACGCCTCCTGCTACTGTGGTCGTTCCACTGTCGTCAGGGAATGTGGAGTTCGACGCGAGTATGTCGTCCTCTCTCGCGAGTCCGTCCTCCACTCCCATCGCTGTCCCCTCTGCCCCGAAAAGGTCGGTGGCTCCTCATTCCTCGCCCTCCGTGACTCCCTCGGGGCCGCTCTTTCCTCCTTTGCCGACCGTCGCCGGCTTCGTCCCCCCCGAGGGGGACGTCCCGGTTCGTACGGGCGCGGTCGTGCGTCCGTGGTCTACCCCTCAGCCCCTTCAGAAGGTTCATGGTTCACGCACGTCTTCGTCTTCCGTCGAGCTCGTCCCGACATCGGGCGGTCGCATGACCCCTGGATCTCCTCCCCTCGACAGCTCGGCGCCACTACGGGGTCACTTACTCCGAAATCAATAAAGATTATTATTCCGGAGCAGGCATTTTATTGAGCGCATATTTTGAGAGAAAATATTCGTCCAGAAACGGGCTTTTGTAGCATAAACCCCCGGTCGCGTTGGGGGTTTAGCTGTGGTTCTTCGAAGACCTGTGTACGCGAGAGAGGACAAAAACACACACACCAGAAAAGAACGCGGGCGGTGGTAGCGTGGTAGAGCGGTGGGGAGCGGACGCGAACACAGTACGCGGTAGAGCGGTTCGACGCGCTCGACGCCCCGGGGCGGCGCTAGTTAGCGTTCTAGCACCGACGGGCGGAGGCGGATCCAGCTCGCGCGCGTACGTTCGCGACCGCTACCCGCGTTAGTTTCTAGGTAACGCGCTTGCGTTAAGAGAACGCGTTTAGAATAAGCGGACGGGGTTAGACCTGCGGTGGAGGATCTGGTACCAAGCCCGTGCTTGTCCTTCTCCTCCCTCCGCCGCCGGTCGCCCTGTCATTTAATATACAAGTAAATAATCTATCATAACATATACTACAGTATCTAGGTAGCGCCTTACACGGTAAGCTCGCGCGCCTTACTCCGGATCGTCACGCTGTACACATGCACAGCGAGCAGCAAGCGCGTACTTACAGCCGCGCGCACACGCGCTGTAAAACGTGTCATGGGTGTACAGTAGCCGCCCCCAGCAGTAAATAATCCCCTTCGCGATTATGCTACATAGCCCCCCCCTTAGGCGTGAACGTCCGCGTTCACTCTTTTGGTAGGGAGCGAGGGGGGGGTTCTAGTCGAGAACGACGAGTCGAGTACTCATGCTTCGGCATCCACACGTCCACTTCGACCCTCGGCCCGGGGTGTATGCACCGCGTCTAGCACTGCCTGTGTCTATCCGGTGCGCGCTTCTGATCCCTCATTCACC